TGCCCAGCGCCCCCGTCGAGTCACGTGACGCGAGGCGCGGGGTGCGCGCGCAGCCCGGGGGCGGGCGCTGGCTGCCTGTGTGCTCTGACGCGACCTGGTTTTGGTGTGCGGAGCGCTATAGTCGCTGGAGTTCAGTGACCTGATCCCGCACTCCAGCACCGCCTCGGTAAACAGCCCGGGACAGCTTATGTGACCTGGAGGGTGCTCGGGTCACGGCGCACCACCGTTCACCTCTCAGTTTGAAAATGGGCCCCTGGTCTGCAGTAACCTGTGAGGTCGCCCACGGACAGGCCTGGCGGAACCCTGGGCGTGAAAGTCTGGAGGGTCGCAAAGCCGTCCTGCAAGTGTGGAGGAGGCTGGCTTAGAAACCAACGCGCGCCTCCTGGGCGCGCTTGGAAAGAAAACTATCAAATAGTGCATATCAGGGTCTTTGAGCCGCCCATGGTGGCGCACGCCTGTAATCCCAGCACTCGGGAGGCTGAGGCAGGAGGATCATTGAGAGTTCGAAACCAGTCTGGGATACAAAGTGATCTCAAGGCCAGCCTGAACTGCATAGTGAGACCCTGTCTCAAAAAGACAAAAAGAAAAAAAAGGTCTTTGGGCCCATTTTGATTGTAGAAGCACTTTTCTAGTTTTTGTTCGAAGTTTACAGTGACTAGGGTAGATCTAAGAATTCGGTGGAGGCTCTCTGATTTGCTATAGCACAAATGAACCGGTCAGTTTTAGAGCTCAGAGTTGAAAATGTTAAAATGGGGGACAGGGTGGTGCTCGTCTGTAATCCCAGCATTTAGGAGGTTGAATCCCAGCATTTAGGAGGCTGAGGCAGGACGATCATTGGAGTTCAAGGCTAGCCTGCACTACATAGCGAGACTGTGTCTCAAAAAGAAAAAAAAAATGTTAAAACTGCAATTTGGAAAACTTTTACTCAGGTTTTTTTTTATTTTTATTTATTTATTTTTTAATCTTTTTGAGACAGGGTCTCGCTGTGCAGTTCAGGCTGGCCCTGAGCTCGCTTTGTAGCCCAGGCTGGTCTCGAACTCACAACGATCCTCCTGCCTCAGCCTCCCAAGTGCTGGGATTACAGGCGTGCGCCAACACGCCCAGCTTCAGGTTTTAATTTAGTAATTCTAAGTTAAATATTTTCAACTGTGTCCCAAATTCAGTCTTTTTTGAAATTACTTTTTATAGTTTTGAAGTCACTAGAAATAAGACAAATACTTAATGGGTTTGTTTTTGTTTGTTCGTTTTTAGGTTTTGTTGGACACAGGTCTCACTGGGTAGACTAGGCTAGTCTTGAATTATGTAGTCCAGCCTGGCCTCTTACTTGGGACACTCCTCTTGCCTCAGCTTCCTGAGAGCCTGGTCACTACACTGGCTTAGTTTTTTTGTTTTTTTAAAAAGCGAGTTTATACTTAAGAAGGTTAATGTCACTGTGTGATCAATTATATTAAATTGCTTTCCTCCTAAACAGTAACATTTTTCTTGTCAGTCATTTTTATATGAAAAACGTTTTTATATTCCACAGCCAAGCTAATTTCGGATTGAGTTATAGTCACGGGAGGATACGTTTTGTCAGTTTAACATTCCACAGATGGAATTTTTAAAAAAATTTAGAAGTGTCTGGCAGGCGTCTGTTTAGAAAACGTCTCTTAAAAAATGAACCTTATTGTAAATCAAACTAGCATTCTGGTAGTAGTCCTAATATGTGAAGATTGAAAATGTTTACACTAACACAATTTATGCATAAAAATATGTATGTGATTATTAAAAAGTAACACATATGTAATGTAAATGTAAAATGAGAAAAATAAGTAATTTTTTTTGTTTGTTTTTTTCCTCCGGTACCAGGAACCGAACTCACGACCTTGCGCTTGCCAGGCAGGCGCTTTTGCTGCTGAGCTAAATCCCCAGCCCCAAGTAATTTAAATGTGATTCAGAATTGGATTTCAAATCAGCTAAATTAATGGACAAGAGCTAACCCCAGTAGTCAGAGAATGAAGCTGCTTGCTAGACAGTTTTGGTTACTTAGGCTAGAACTCCACATTATATGGAATGAAGGAAAGGGCACAGAAAAAGTAGTATAAGAAATGGGTAAACGGACAAATTTTTAAAGTCTGCAGGGGTGTAGTAGGAAGTATTTTAATTTAATAAAGACTCCAACTAGTACAGATGGGATATTGGGGCCGATGAATTCACTCCTATCCACCCAGTTGAGCTGGAGCACCACCCTAAAGCTATCCCTCCCTCCTCACGCCCGTCCACCCCCTTGAGCTCCGAAGCTGCCTTAGCAGCATTCAGTATAACCCCAGACCAAAGCACATGCAAGCCCTTCTTCCCCTTTTGCTCCTGAGCCAAGGAGCCTAATCTGTCCGAATGATGGGCATTGTCCCTTTTGTGCTGTCCATCTGTCTGTGCAGGACGTTCAGCAAACAAAGCTGTTTTTCTTCCACCATCGTGTACACTTTGTAAAACGTTGTGTGCCATACACAAGCACCTGGGATCTGTCAGATCCACCACAGGGTAACACAAATTTCTAGTTGTTGAACCAGATAAATTAAACAACTGAGATGCCTGAGGAACTATTTCTAAAAGTTAAAAATTGTCTTCCTGGCTTTTTAGAGGAAACCAAATTTTAATAAAAAAAATTTGCATCTTGTGTTCAATTAGAGTAGGCTCCTATTTATATAGAATGGCTATGTTCATTTTTGTATTTTCTCCTACACCCCACCCCCCAAACCCCTCCATGGCTAACATGATTTCTTGTAGATAATTTAGACTGATTGGAAGAGTGTGTCTTAATTAACTGACTGCAGTGTTTAGTAATTAGTTTGGATTGCAATGTCTTTGAGAGGACCTGATTCATCGTTATATAACCTCAGCCTCTAACACAGGACCTAGATCAGAGTGACACAGATTAGGGCACGGCAAAACTGGCTGAGGAAGTAGGTGTGACCCGTTAATTACAAAATCTCAGAATGCATGAGAAGAACAAAGCCTTGCATGTGCACTTTTGCAAGAACTTGAACAGGTTTTCCATAGGATGGCCCAGACCTGACTTCAGTCCGAGGAGTGGGTGATATAAGAAGGATGGTCATCAATGAATTTTTGCCGTTGTGGTTACTCTTGAACAGTGTAGGGTGTGCTTTTCCTGCTTTTACTTGGCCCAGACTCATTCTGCAGAACCTGTTTCTTTTCCTGCCATTAATAAAACTTTGCTGCTGTTTGTGCTTGTCTTGACCAATTCTTTGCTCAAGGCAGAAAGAACCTAGGAACCACCTCCAGAAGGAGACTCCTGCACCCAAAACCCAGTAACAATAGTAGGTACTCTATGTAAGTGAATATAAATATGAAAATTTAGTTTAAAAGGCACTAGTATTTAAAGCATTTATTGAGAACTTGGAATATAATTTTATTTAACGTGATAAAATTACATGTCAAGTAATTTATAAATTTGATGTAAGTGTGTGACAGTTTACAGCCATGGCAGGGCATAAAGGATGACAGATTACTCTGAGTCAGTGTTCAGTTCAAACTCCAAGAAGGCCCACAGAGACTATCCTTAACCAAGACGCCCTTAGTGTGTGAGTCTTATAAAGACATCCCTGAACTGAAGCTTCTGTAGCTTTTTATTGATAGAATCAGGAAGAAAGATAAAGGACACAAATTTTGGGGGAAGGTCAGAGTGGTCTGCTGCATGACTGATCTTAGGGCCTCTAATAAATTGGAATATGGGGAGGATGAGGGCTAGGGCATTCATTCCTTAAGGCAGTGTGTTTTGGTTCTAGTTGGACTTGTAGCCCTGTAGGTTATCTTTAAATCACTAAGCATGCATTCTGGAAAAGTTTGGGTGTGTGGCTCCAAAAGTCCCTTACCTCTGCATATCCATCTCATACATACCTCTAGCCAACACCACCACATAAATACTTGTCATAGTTTGGAGATAATGGGAGAAAATATTTAAAATTGTAGCTTTGCCCAAAAGTCTGAAGTGCACTGTTATAGTACAAGATAGAGAGTGAACAGTAAATTTAGAGGTAATATTTATCTAGGCTAATAAGAGAGATGTATGACTACCAGGAGAGGAGATTCCTTCAGTTTCTACCCTTACTGGAAGCTCCATATCCCATATCCTATTCTGTAGCTCAAGTTGACATCACATAGGAATATTCCAAGGTTTAGGGGAATCTGGGGTATGTGACACCTTTTATCTAAGTACAAAGTAATCTTCTGGGTTTCTGAGGTAGCATCAAGATATTCCTCCTCTGCCTGGGGGTGAAAGTCAATGCAGGTCAGACCTCAGGGCCCACACCATGAATTGGAGGACTGATGTGAATCGACTGCAGCTATTTTATTCCATCGCATTCTTTCTACTCGTATTTTATTAAGGACCTACTAAGCAAAATATACTAGGTGCTGTAGGAGCAGAACAAAGCAACACACCTCCCAGCAGGCCTCTCATTCTTGCCTTCATTTCATTCGTTCTATTCTAATAAATTACCAAGAGAAGTGTCTCTTTAAACCCTTGACTATAATTCACTGGGGCAGTGTTAAGTGTCAGTGACATCGGAGATCAAGGCATAACAAAACTGGCTAGGGAGGTAGGTGTGCCTATAATTCAAGATCCCAGAATGTGCGGAATAGTTCTCAAAGCCTAGACCTGAGGTCAGCTTGGGCCATGGGATCCCAGCAGCACCTCTCAGGACCAGAATGTGTTTCTCATGGGTTTCAAGAGTTGGACAGTATAAAAGGACACAGATGCCAAGAAGAGCTTGCTGTTGT